CTACACTGCTTGCTACACATCAGGGTTTCTTGTCTAACCAACTCAGTTAAGTCAGCTGTTCAATTGCAAACAACCAGCCAGATCCTGCTTTCCTCTGACTGAGCTGGAAGGCTGGAGAAAAATCCTCCCTGCTTCATCAGGAGCATAGCCAGAGCCCTTGTAATTCGTGAAAAGGGAGTTTGTTCCCTGTAGCCCAAGGTAAGGACCCAAAAGGAAAACCCCAGACTGAGGCTAACTTTCTCCTCCTACATAAAGCAGGAGCATGTGTCTGGAAAAAAAAGGCTTCAAGCTGTCTGTGCAACACCTAGCAGAATGGTGCCCTGATTTCCATGCATTAACTACAACTAAAGAAGGTAACAACAATATCTCTTCCCTTAATGAATAACATATAATTAGCCATTTAATCTCAGTGAAAGTATTTGTTGCCAGATCAAATATATACCGCAAGTTAGAGCACACTTAACTTTTAACTTAACTGTAGTTAAATCAATGTCATCTTAGTGCTGGTTGTGATTTGCCTAATGCTAAAATGAAACACTTCTTATGTCAAAACCAGTTATTTAGAAAGTGGCTCTATCTATGGAAAAATGGCATTGTGTCAACATTATTTTAAGAAGTGGCTTCTCTCATCATCTTAGTAAATAACTATGTATTACATGAATGTCACTTGGAAAACTACATTCTATTCACAAAGCTGATAACTATTGCCATCACGTACTCCATCTCTAACAAACTAAAATAATTTCTTAATATTATCTTTCTGTTCTCTTGCATTTTTATAAAGAAATTCCTTCCTCAGAGTAGTCTAGTGAAAACTGAAGAGTCACTTTTCTCCAGTAAAACGCTGGGGATTTATTAGTTTTGAAGCTTTTATTTGCATTAGGATGTACATCATTTTGATGCAAAGGCTGTATGTCATTTTGATGAGCTGCATACTTCTGAACAGCCAATAGCCATTGTGCTGTCTCAAACACGCCACTGTTTCTGCCCTCTTTAAAGAATAACAGAACAGTAGGGTGTCAGAGATCATTATGAGACAGCCCTTGACTAGACTCAGGGAAAAAAATAAACCGAACCAAGAAAACAGAAAAATTTCCAGCAGAAAATATGCTAAAAGCAGAAATGTTTCATGTCCCTTGTGAAAAATTATGGTTACTAGGTCAAAATATTTAATTTTGATTTGCTGGAATGTTTTTTTTTAAAGAAAACCTCTATTCAACTTAATCAGTTGAGAAATGTACTTGCATGAAAACACGGACATTTTCAGCAAGCGTTCAAATGCCCAGATTTTTAGAAAAATTAATTTTGTATAATTTAATCTAAGAGCTAAAAAGCTGCCATCAAAAGGAAACATTCTGGTGTGATACAGTGATCTTAGCCTAAGAAAGCAAAAAGTCCTGGTAAATCTAAATGACACTAGCCAGAATTATTTCTATTTAAAACAAAATGTAGATGTTTTCTGCCCTATTCTGCATCAGAGTAAAATGCTTCTTTCTCAGAAATGGCTACAGCCCTGGGCTTTGACTCTAAACCCTGTGGCAAGAGGCTTTCCAACCCCAGGCAGGGTACAGTCTAACAGAGTCCTCTTGAAATGCCTGGCATGGGAAGGGTGGGCAGCACCCCTGGGGAACCAAGGGCACTCGAAAATGAATAATGACTCTGAGCACCTCTTGAGTGAGAGGTGACGTGCCAGGCACTCACTCACCTCCAGCATAACCACACATATTTGTTTCACGCACTGGATGATGGCATCAGGAGTGCCCGAAATAGTCACTGCGCGCTCCGTTGAGTTGGGCAACATGTCCCCTGCCACCTGCACCTGGGCTCCTGTGGACTTGAGCAGAGACAAAGCAAAGAGAACGTCACTGTCGGGCAGGTGATTAAAAAAAAAAGGAAAAAAGTGCTGATAACTGAAGGTGGTCTGCTAAGCAAATGAGTTACAGAGAAATGTCTCTTTAATCCACTGACGGCTGACTTGAGACTCTGGATGAAGTTTGGGACTGTCTTGTGCTCTGGGATATACCACGATGGCACAGAAACACTTTTAAATTGTAATTAGTGTTGACTAAATATATGCATGTCAGCATTAGCTCATTAATGAAACCAAGGAGGTAATGAGACATTTTTGTTTTCTTGTTTTAAAAAATTTCATGTTGGCACTAATGTATCTTAGTTAACTAGATAATAAAATTGGAAAAAAAAAAAAAAAAAAGAGAAACAAAAAAATACACAAGACCAAAACAATCCCTGGCATTATTTCACAAACATCATGGAAATCCTTTTTGGTCAATAGAGAACCATCCATGCATTTCATATCGAGTTAGCAGTTTCATGCATTACAAACAAAACCTATTCCTGACTGTTAATGCAATGCAATATTTTGGGATTTTAAAAATAAACATTTTGGTAACCATTGACTTTGTGTCAGTCAGCAAGGAGTTAATTTGCTTTCCTGCTGGTTACATAAAACACATGCTATTCTTCTTTCCAATGACTGATTAAATTACTGATTGCATCTTCCGTTCACTAGTGCTGTTTAAGGCCAAAATATCAATTCCTTGCTGTATAATAGGCTTTGGAATTTCACCATAATTTGATCAATCAGTTATGCTTTCTTTTTTTTTTTTTTTTGTGATCTTATCTTGAAAATAGTACTGCAACTCTGTAGGTTGTTCCTGGGTACATGACTGAACACAAAAGACCATTCCTTGTGGAGCTGCTCATTGTGTGGTATGATGATGAAATGAGACCACATCTCAAGGTGGATGCTCCTTTTTTTTTCCTGTTTGATCCCACTTGTTATTCCATATACATTTCTGGCTAACTGTACATCTAGCACAAAATACTCTGCCAAATACTGCTGCCATTTCTGAATTTGCTTCCAGGGCAACTCTTGTTTATTCTTTGACTTTGGTCATATGTCAGAATTGCAAAAGTGAGTAATACTTTGTCCATTTCCCCTATGCTTAAGAAAATTTGCAGTGTGACTTCTCACTACATTATCCTTATCAAAACACCTATTTGACTAAACACTATCATTTCACTTCCCTGTACTAGACTAGTAGGTAACTGCTTCTGAAACTGCTCACCAGAGTAATCACTTCAGCCGTTTAATGTACACAGACCAATCTCACCTTTAAAAGCCTATGTCCTAAAAGCACTCACTTGGTGCTCTGGATGACGTTATCAATATTTGAAATAAAATCCGGTAAAAACCTAGAGCTAAACACTCATCAGCACATGGTTCATGCTCACACCTGCTCTTATTTTAACACAACTAAGAAATCAGCTGGATTCCTACTTCCTGACAGCTCTCCTGAACACCTAATAGATCTGGAGGACCAAGGGAAATGGTCTCTCATGGCTGAGGTCACTTCCCGCTGGGTGCTCTGAGAGTAGCTCTGCCTTTTCTGGTGGCAAAGCTTCAGCCTGGCTGCACCTGCTGCCCGCCAGGCAAACTGCTGCAAACACCAATAGCCTGCTGGCCATCCAGAATCTAAGCCAGAAATGTCCCGTGCATAAGGCAAACTGACCACCTTCCTTCCACCCAGGAAAGGCACTTCAACACACAAGCAACTTCACCCGGCTATACAAAGTTCTCTGACAAAGGTTTATCTGGGATTAAAGAAAAGAAAAGTTTCCTATGACCTTAATATCTGCAGAAAAATGTCTTCTCCCCCTTGGAGTCATCAAGTGACTTCTTTCTCCCACATCTAAAAAGCTGGCTTGAGAATAAGGACTATTGAGAGGCATAGATCCTGGACTCTGATAAAAAATAAAGTAGCGGTATTCTAAGAAAAAAAATAAATTAATTGCCTTTGACTTGCAGGTCTCAGTAAGCACAGAGACCCCTTAAAATGACAGGGCTCTGCATTATTTTTCTATGAGCTTACAGCAGACAACCTATGCATGTTTTCATGATCACAGTTTACAAAGCAACAGACAGACGGGGGAACAACCTGTTGTTTTCTTGGTAGCAAAAACTCTGAAACAGTTTTTGGCAGCTCTGTCAGCTAATGGCAGCAGTACACGTTGCTTTTACCTCCCGGTATGAAAGGAGAGAAAAGGCCCTTTCAGCAGCAGCCAGGTCCTGACAGGTGAAGATAAGCCTTCAGAAGGAACTTTGTTTAAAAAACTCTGAGGGCAATCAAATTGGAATCCAAATGAAACAATCTGGAAAAACTTGAAAGTCAACAAGGATGAGAGCCCTAACTACCCTCTATGATCAGCTTTTCCCTAAGGCTACCATAAGCTTACATTTCAGAGCAAATGCCGGAAATATAATTTTGATCTAAGCATCTCTTGCTTGAGACTTGATCAAATTTCCTTTGACAGGAAAACATTTGGTATCTTTTTTTTTTTTTTTAATATTTGAAATGAAATGTAAAAGCTCAATAAAACCTACTGTCTTGAATCTACATTTTTAGATAAAAAAGGAATTTTCAATTTGGTAGAGCCCATCAAAAGCTATTGTTTTGACACAGTCAAATAAAAAAATGGATCAACATGTTATCTTCACATTCAACACCTCACCCCATGTTGGAATGAATACAAATTTAGAAGGACTACTGTCACTTTTTCCAGAATAAAAGCCCATTTTTCCAAAAAGTCCTATTCAGATTTTCTCTACATAACTGAGCACGTACCTAATTTTCTTGTTTGACCGATGACAAACATCAGATCCTTGGCTTGGCACGTGCTATGTTGCTACAATCGTACATAGAAGAATTAAAACTGGCACTATATTATGATTTGCATTTTCTGGTTAAAGGAAAAAGTGGCTGCTAGCACAGCACATTGGATGAACATCTACAGATAAAGTCTGGATTGAAAAAAGTCAATGTGGGTTTGGAAGATGTGAAATCAGGTCACCTGTGGCACAGCGAGATTAAGGAGAAACAGGAAAGGAGTACGAAAATATTTTTTTTCTAAAAAGTACATCAAGGCTTTGAACTACTAACCTGACTTCCTAGTGCTGCCTGGGCCTTTCTATGGCTGCAAAGGTGGTAGCTAATTTGGAAATGGCTGCAACGCTCCAACTCAGGATCACCTGAGCATTGCTGGGGAGGGGGCTGTGCCTGAAGAGAAACTGGGGGAGACATTGCTGCTGCTTTGCTAAATTGTGCACCAGAGACTAATGTGCTGTAGAGCCGTTTCTTTATTTCACACACGGTCTTTAGCTTCCCGGAAGGCAGGAGGGCAGGGCCGTGCTGAACTCCTGCCTCCCCCAGAGCAGGGCCTCTCCAGGCTGCTCGCTCAGCACACGCTCGGGTTCGTGCCGTGAGCACAGCGCGGCGGCCGATGGCGGCCGGGCATGCTGTGGGGAGGCACCAAGCTAGCCAGTGTCCCCGACACACGTCCTGAGACTTACCTCCCTGATTTCTTTGATTTTGGAACCTCCTTTTCCTATAAGGGATCCACACTGACTTGCCGGGACAACGAGCCGCAGTGTCACAGGGGGTTTGCTTGTCACCGTGCTGTTTGTCATCGAGGCGTTTATGTCCTGTAATCACAATGTCAGGGAGAATTAGTGGAGGATTTGTCATTCCTTGGTAAGCACTGAAGGACTCAGACCAAATGCCTGAGCTGTTTGTGGAGACCTGGGAAGAGCATAACCAGTTGTGGTTTGTTTCTGTTGCAGGTGAAGGCAGCAGATACACCACAAGCATGAACCACAAAAGTGGCTTGTGCCAGAGCCACATTTTTTCTGTCTGGCATTGCAGATCCACACTGTGGGACCAGAGGACAGTCTCTGAGGCAAAATTAGGAGGAGGAGAAGAGGTGGTATCTTGTCATCTGCTGAAGCAGATGGAAAAGACAAGGATTCTTTTGAGTTCGCTGACCCTCAGATCCTGATTTGGTCTCCTCCACCACCTCAATTAGAACACTTCTACCAAGTGATACGTCTTTACATTTCATACGATTTCTTGTCAGGTTTGATACAAAGAATAAAGGTTAAAAAAGGGAAGGCCAAGAATCAGTGAATAATCTGAAGCAGAGAAACGTTTCGATAAATATTTTGCTGCCTCCCAGGTTTAATTTCTCTTTTGTAGCAGATCCATAAGTATTTGTAGTATTACATAATTTCTGAAATCTTTTCCATCACAGCTATGTAACCAGAGTAAAAGAAGCTCAGCAGAACAGCAATTATCTGTATCCAGGTAATGTAACCTGTACCCATGTATCTAATTATCCAATGAGACCACACTACCAGATTTCATGAGCATCTCAGTATACTACTTGTCACAGGGTTTACATTGTTTTAAATACCTTTTGCTAATTGAGAATCTTCTAGGCAAGATAAAACAGCCCTTCTAATGTCTTCATCAGATGAAAAGATAATGCTGATCTTCCCACTGATTGATGGAACGCTGTGAGAGCACTCAGGTTCACAAAAACAAACCACAAGCTGCCTAACACTTGTCCAGCAACTCATGAGACTCTCAACATGGTTTGCCAATGCTAGCTGCAAGCTAAAAAGACCATCTCATCCATCTGTGCAGGGCACAGCTATTCCATCCTTTGCAGAAATGCTACCCAAAAGATTAGGACAGGAATGGCAGAAAACATATATTTCATTATTCATTTAACTCATTTACGACACAAGAGTTCCAGCAGACAGAACTGATGTGCTTCCTTATTATCCTTCTCATCAATATTAACACTCATTAAAAAATATAAAAAGTGCGTATATATTGTGATCAGGACCCCAAATTAAAAACAACCAACCAACCAACACCCTGTACTTCAAACAACTCTGCACGCCTTGTTGGATAAGCGTGGGAGCTCCGTGATACCAGCACTGATTCCTGCAGCACTGCAGCGTTTGTGATGCTCAGTGTGACCTTGCTTAGCTCAAAAGAGGAAAAAAAAAAAAATCTTGGACAGAATGAGGCATTGCTGCATGCTACAAGACAGCTATCAAATAATTTCTTTGCCAGCCAGTAACTCACATTTTGTTTAGTGCCCATGTCAGTGAGAGATTGCAAGCCAAAGCAAGAGGGATAGCAGAATTTTGCAGCACCCATGTACCTGAAACAAAGCTCAAGTCATGCCAATTTTTCAGCTGGAAGATGCCATCTCACTATATCACTTTTTTGTCAGGTGGAGGGTACACAATAATTCAGACGTAGGTAAATAACCCTCTTCAGCCACCCAGCACGACCCTGATAATGTCTCTTGCTTCCATCTCGTATGACCCTGATAATGTCTCTTGCTTCCATCTCGTATGTGGCCTGGCCTCAAAGCCTTCACTGCACTCACTGCTTTCAAAAGCACTTCACAAGAATTGGAAACCACTATTATCTTTATCTTCTCATTCAAAAAGATCAAAATCTAAACACAGAGGATCAGCAGCGTGGAGTGCATAAAGGAGTTGGTTCAGCTTTAAAAAAACAACAAAAGAGAAATGAGCAGAAACAAATCCCCTCCAGAACTGCAGGCTCCCACGTAGGGATGGTTGGAGACTTTCTTACAGAACAGTTGTCTTCCCAACTGGGAGATTCTATTTCTTTAACCTCTAACTTTCTCTGGCGCTGTGCCCATTCCCTCAGGGCTCTGGCAGACACTAGAGCTGGACTTTGCACAGCTTTCTGCCCGCTTGCCTGTGCTCCTCAGCCAGGATGGGCTAACTGGGAGCCTGGAAGTGGTGGGAGAGCCAGCTCCCAGTGTTGAAGCATTGCAGCTCCTGGCATCCCAGAGTTATAGTGTCTTAAGGCTTCCCAAGGCAAGCAAACATGGCAGCTCAGAAATCTACCCAACCTCTGGGAAAAAAAAAAAACAAACTTACCAAAATTCTTTACTGATTTCTAAATGAAATATTGAATCTGCCAATTTCCACAGTGAGTAAAACGAATCTGTGAGGTGGCTCCTCACTTGGTAATGGCCACTGCAGGGTTTAGCTTAGTTGTAGCAGTAGGAGTTAGTATTTATAAAAAAGGCACCATCTCAATGAGTTTTAAGTCTTTCTTTCCTTCTTATTCCTAGAGCTGAGCAAGTTCTTCATAAATGTTTGCAGATGAACAAGAATTCCACAAAACTTTTTCTCTCTATTTGGAAAAGGTCTGACCACTGAGCTGTGTCTGCTGGTTTTTCCAGCGCTTAACTGTGCTTTAAGTGGATCATGCATATTTATACCTGAACACCTAGCTGCCCCACTCACCAGTGGACTTACAGCTGCATTTCTTGGATCCTAGCCTGCAGTCTGGAAATTACTGTAAAATGTCCTCTCTTGCAACTCCCAGACCACTAGCCCAGTGGTCTGCCTGGGTTAGTGCCATTTTTTAGCAACATTCTTTGTCTTCTGCAGTGAACACTTCAGTTGTTTATGTAATTACCTTACTAGCCTATAAACTCAACATCACTCTTCTAGAAAATCAACTTTTATTAGGAAGGTTGTCAAAGCAGAGTGATATAAGGTTGCAGAGCAAACACACAGGAAAAACTCCTCCCAGTCTTTTTCTACCTTCTGATGCATTTTGAGAGTTTTGCTAACATTAAAAAAGCATCCCAGGGCTCCCAAGTCTTTCTAGACCTGCTTATCCCCAGCTACTCAATTGTAGGGTTGAAATTAAGGCTTCAAGGGCTTCATGTGGGCATGCATAACAAATACCAAAAAATCCCTAAAGCTGTTAGTCTCACACATACATCTTTTTTGGCCTGCTTGAAGGTAGCTGCGATAACCAGAACTGGGCCAGGCACTGTCTGCTCTGCGATTTTCAATTTTTTAAATGGCTGGGGAAATCTTCAGCAAAAAGATACACATTTTGTAGCTAGCTCATTTGCAATACCTGGAACAGTACTTTATTTTGCCTCCAAAGCATTACAGTTATCTCATTTTATTTACAGGAATAATTATAGTAAACCTAACATTATATGAGAGATTTTTCTTTACCACTGTTCTTTTAAATATATGAGAAGCCAATTATATTAAAACTAAATACAGATATTTCAGAATATAACCACAGCACCTTATCTGCAGAGAGTACCAATACCCCTTTGCTAACATCCACATGAAGAGTCCAGACTACCCTCTAAAATCTGCAAGGGTAAATATGCATCAAGTCAAGCCAGATGCCTGGATTTCAGAATTCTTTGCCTATTGCTACAGCACTTTCAAAGACAATGTGGTGGGGGGTGGTGGGGTGGGGACCTGATGTTGTGCAGTGTTCGATGATTTTATGAGAAATGCAGTGGTATTTCCTCTGGGTACTCATTTTGGTGGGAACTGGCATGGATTATTTCTGTTAATGAGTCCCTCAGCACTTTTCAGGATAAAGCCTTAAGCAGAGCATCATTTTTTCGTAGAGAGACAGCTCTCTCCAAGTCTCCATGGATTGGAGGGTATGGTACTGTGCACAAAGCTGCATCATAAGCTAGAAGAAACAGGGACTGGTCCAAGATGGGTAGGAGATAAAGCTGAGAAGGAGTTGACAACAGATGGTTTTAAAATTGGGCTGGAGACAACTACTTGTGCAGTTCTGCAGTATTCAACCTCAAAATCATTATTAGCTCATTAATAACTGTTAGGGGAAAAGTTAGCATCCTTATAAAATATAGCATGCCAGAAAACCAGGGTACTTTATCAACATGTTGAGTGATTAGAATATCTCAAAGGAAGATCACAAAGGAAAACCATGACAGATTGAAGAAATATAAATGAGATAAATCTCTATAAATGAGATCAATATTTGCAGTATAAAAAAAAAAGTCATTTGTCTGAGGGCTGACAGGAATGTCTGCCAAGACCAAAGAGGTTCCCACTGAAAACACCTGAGTAGGATCTGGGGGTACCCACCAGGCACAGCACACTGGGATGTGAGGCTTTTCTAGCAGTGGTAAGGGATATGTCAGCGTGACAGCCAGGACAGAAGACTCTTAGTGCCATCACATAAGCCCTTCTGGAACTTCATTTACAACCTGTCTACAATTAACACACATTAATACAGACTAAAATTGGGAAAAGGTAGAAAGGGACTACTACAGTCATAGAATGAGGGGGATGGTTAGCACATCCTCTGAAAGACAGGGCTTGGCTCACTTCCTCTGGCAAAACCAAGGGTCTGAGTGAATAAAACTGGTTTCTAAAAATATAACTAAGAGGGGAATCCTCAGGGATGGAGAGGGAAGAATTATTTAAACTAATGGCCTTTGCTGGCATAGAAACAAAGATGTATAAACAGTTCCTGAGTAAATTCAGGTGAGGAGTGAAACAAAGGTGTCTAATTATCAGAGAACTGAGGTTGTAGATCCAATAGCAGGAAATATAAAAAATCTAACTAGTTTTTTGTCATGCTGTCAAGTTGCAAGACATACTGCTTATGTTAGAAGACAACTGTATCTGATGAAACCCAAGGTCTCTCTTAGTCCTGTTGCTCTTAAAATGAACAATCATGAGTAAATAACAGGGCACGCTGACATTTCCCATCAATGCCAGCATCTCCCAGTGCTATGGAGAGCTGTGGAGACTAACCTTACTGATGTGGTGGAGACATGAGTATTCTTAAGAAAGGGATTCACATCCCTCTAGTTTAACCATTGATGAAGAGACACAGCATCTTTCTCCTACTGCAGGTGATTCTGTCTACCTGTCTGCAGGCTCTTCCCTAAAGAGAAGGTGAATGGCCTTCTGCAGGGGCCTCTGTCTCCAGGAAGGACAGGAGAGATGCCTGGATGAGATGTATGATTATTAAAAGTAGAGAGAATTAAATCCTCTCCTGAGCGATCAGAGTTTGTGTTCCGTAGCCTGGTATCTTTTCTGTGATGTTTCCCATTCAAATGGTGACCATATCTAATTGTAGTTGGTCCATGGACCTTGAGGATATTCCAGCCTTTTAGTTACATATCTACACAGAACAGTTATTCTACAATAAATTCAGCTCTTGCTTCCCCTCCTTAGTGCCTTTATTTTAATTAATTTTAAAAGCCGAGCTTTAAATATGGTAATTGGTAATAATATAGTTTATATTTTAAAATAAAAGTTTTCTAGTTAAATGAGTTATATATTAATTTTGACACATATATAAAATTTACATCAATACCAAATAGAATCGCATAAAAACAGAGCTGAAAGTTAGGCAATTATTCTTTTCAAATCAAACCCACAATGGGATCAGAAATTTTCCAACACATTTTTCCTACCATTATTGCACATTACTAGTAGCAATTGCTTTTCCCTGAAGCCTCCAAAACCCAAAAGAAATGATCAAACAGCTTGTAAATTGACCCATTATTTTTCTTCGGCATTACTGCCAAAAGCATTTATAAAAATACAACCACTTTCATTGCTATTAAATAGAACATTAAACAAATCATATTTAACACTAAAGCAAACATGAGAAAATTCAAACATTGTTTATATTTCAACTCAAAGAGAGAAAAAAACATGTTATATTTGCTTACCTCTTCAAATTTTAGTGCAATCATAGAAAAAGCTTTAAAAATCGCATCTGTTGGGCCTGTTATTGTCACAATTCTCTCCGGACAGGAGCCTTCTGAAATATTGATTCGAGCACCACTCTGTCAAAAAGAACAAACAGGTTTTTTTTTTCCACATTTATACTTCCCAGGGAGTCAACTAAATAGGATTAGGGATATAGTTTGGGAAGGAATATCTTGAGGCATCTAATTCCCTCCCCTACAACTGCAGCCCCAACATCATATAATTTTAGCATAAGCTGATCACACTCAAAAAATTAATTTAACTGCAGGAAGCTGGAATCTACCTTGGTAAATACTTATACAGCCTTCATTGCAGAATGAAAATTGTGCCTCTGGAACCTAAAGTTACAAACAATTGTGTCATCAAGTCTGTTTCCTTCCCTCTTGCAGGCTTAACCTTAAGTAGGATGAAGATTCAGAATTCAGACAAGGCTGTTGTCTCCAGGGAGCATCAATATGTCCCAGGAAAGATGCACCTCTCTGGTTTGGGGACCCAAAGGTAGGGCTTGGTCTGTCCAGCTAGGGCATTGCTCTGCACTGTGGAGAAGGTTCCTCATAGATGTGTCTCATGTGAAGGCAGTCAGTTAATATGCACTGAACAAGCCTTTAAAGGAGTAGTGGTAGAACAGGCAACACTCACAGTGTTACTGTCATCTCCTTGAGGCAAGGAGCCTGGTGGAAGGAGTTAGAAAACAGTAAGTCTCGGAGACAAGCCAGGATGGCTCTCAGGGATACTTGATCTCCTTCACGCCACTGTGGTGGTGCAGAGAACACCTCTAAGCTAGATGAAAAAATATTTAAATAGATTTTGCTGTAGGCAATGATCAAATCCAGTTCAGGTAAGACCCACAATACACTTTTCCTGAGGAGATGTGCTAATGCAACCTAAGAAGTCACAGGGGCCTCAATGCATATACAGGCACTGACCTTCTAGAGGATCTGGGCCTGTAGCAAACATGAGATAACCTGGGTTAATTTGACCCTTTTGCCTTCAGGGTTACCATGAATCAGCCAGTGTGCTGTGTGTCTGCACCCTTATTCATGTGCACACTGCTGCTCATATCACAGTGTCACAGCAAGATTCTGTATTTTTCCATATGTCAGCAACTGAACAAAAGAAAAAAAAAAACAAAACAACAAAACACCACCGACAGAAAAATCTTGCTGCCATGGACTTGGCGGGCAGACATACTCAGTGTTCATAGATAAGAAATGGCAGCAAGCACTTCTTCTGACAGGCCAACCAGAGTGGTACTTGCCCTCATCAAACACCAGTGCTGGATCAGGAAGGAGATCAACACCTAGGGCTCACTCATGCTGGTGGCAATGTTTGGCTGCCACCACCCCACATGAACCTGGGGTCATGGGACTCTGCCTAGCAAGGAGCACACCAAGTGCCACGATGGGCAGAGCTGCCTGCAGCAGGCAGGCTGGCCCTTCCTATGGCTGCCTCCAGCATACCATGGCTCTTCCTTTGAAACCAGAGCTATGGGAGCTTGTCTGAAAGACTGCTATGCCATGGGTTGGTGGCATCCAAAATGCATAGATGTTACTCCTCCAATAGACGATCAGCCAAAGCAGAACTACAGCAATTAAAACATTATGTGGTGGCCTCTGTATCTGTGTAGGGAGTTATCGACCACAGGTCACAGGACTGAGAGTTTTGTGCTTTTCTTTAGACTTGAAGTTGTCTCTGACATTTCCCCAATGACAGAGTTGCATTTTCTTCCAAAAAGATGGCATGCCACTTGTCACATCTGTCAGAAAAGTCAAAATAAAGTTGCATTTTGCTGTTAAAGAAGTACTGACAAAGGCAGTCAGTTAAAGGAAGACCATGTTATCATCACTTGGACACATAGCCAACCTCTTAGTCCTGGGCTGATAAAAAGATACATATAATTCCTTTATTTAAAAAAAAAACCCAACCAAACAACTAAACAGAAAAGCCTCTTGTGACCACGAGTACATGAGAGTAAGTTTTCAGGAGTAGAGGAGTGTTTGATATTTATCTTGAAAAACTAACTAGGGATCATAACTCTAAGGTATTTAACTCAGAAGTCAGAAGCACTCTCCAATGATGGTTTCCTTTTTGTACATTCAATTTATATACAAAGATATCTGCCTATGATCATAATTAATAATTAAACAAAAATGTGTTTAATCAACTGGTAGGATTGCCTACTATATTGGAAACATTTTGATTGCTGTTTTTTTTTTTTATGTCTTAGCAAAGGTACTTATGCGTGAAAACATAAGTGAAAGCTCTTATCATCAAAAAAGGAGTCTGAACTCAGTCAGCCTGACAATGAACTCCCTATTGTGTATATTAAAAGATGGATTTCACCAATATAAACTAAATATACTTTGAGATTTTCCTGCCACAGACCTTCCACTGGAGTATCAAGCAACAAAGCATCTGACATGGTAATGTACTGCAGATTTACCAGAACCAGAGGCATCCTCTCTACACTCTGCACTCCTAAAGTTTCAAACAGTAGGATTTCTCTTTTGACATGCTTTTAGCACTTGTTTAAAAGAAGGAAAATTACATGGATCTTCAGGTAAGATGTGTTGTCTTGGAGGACATGTGTGAATCTGTAACCTCCCTCTGGGCACAGTGCTCTGAAGACAGTGGAGCTTGCTCTGTCGCAGGGAAGGAAGCCTGTGGACACTTGGGGAGACTGAGGTTTATGCAGGCCCTGTTTTAGTAAGCTGTTGTGTGTTTACAACCTTTTCAAAGGTTGCAGGTCTACATTCTATTCACAGCTGCAAAATGATGAAAAGTTAAGGCTTTTCCAAGACATGGCAGAGGGATACCATGGTTTCTAGAAGTTTGGCTCCAGCTCTGCTGAAGCTTGCGTCTACCATCAAACTTCATACAGTATCACTCTAATGACTGGTTTCAGATTTTGGAAACTCTCCAATAGGAGGCCAAGCCATGTGCAGGACCAGTGTTGGTACACTAAAGAAAGATACAGTGGTTTTGATGCACAGAATCATGCTTGCTAAGCTGTTCTTGAGGTAAGACAGCAGCACACATATTGCTATGGGAACGAAAGACTCCAGACTGCCGTGATGATAAGGAGATTACATTAACAACAATATTTAATTTAGGCCACCACATTTGTACACCACCACTTGCAAAGAATAGTGGTGTCAGGCTGTCCACGTGATGGCAGTGTCGGTCTGCACACACTGCATTTCCCTATTTTCTGAGCTGGAAAGAAAGACAAGTAAAGACATCAAGGCTTCTCTTACCTCCTCCCTCATCTTCTTAACTGTCTCACCTTTCTGTTAAAGAAACAGAAAAAAAAAGTTAGCCATGGCTGATGAAGTGAAATGATATACAATATTTTGACACGAAAATAAAGAAAGTAATTTCCTGACCTTTCCAATAATGCTTCCAACCTCCTGAAAAAGAAAGAAAAAAGACACTGTGAATGATACGTTTCACTACAGAAGAACATTTGCTCTCCTCCTATTCTATTTCATTACTGCTTATTTCAAACCTGAAACGTGAAGCATAGCTCCCTTCCATTCTTGCTGTGTACAAATATGCTGTGTTAGGTATAAAGGGGTTGACTGAAAATGTGGCTTTGCAATCTACTGATTGTGCAAAATACCTCTAACAGAAGCTGATCTTGTGCTTACAGATCAATCCTGTTACTATAAACACACATAAACCCTTATTAGGGAAAGAAAAGTTCAAAAATGGTAGAACTGCACAACCTGCTAGAGAAAACAGGATATAATACAAGCATCAAAATAATTGTTGGTGTCTCTGAGGGTAGGCATTTACCCTCTTCACACCATGTAATAGCTAGAGCAGAATTTCCATGCCACCGATTGTTGTTGTGTAAACACCTGGTGGCCTGTCTTAATCTCCCTATTAAGCACTTACAGAACAATAATTGCTAATCACTTTTTACGGATTTGGGAATTGCTACTGGGCTCTCACATTCTTCCATGAAGGGACAGAAAATATTGAGAAATGTGACTGTAAACATACAATAAGGGAACAATTCGGTAGTTCTGGTCACATCCCAAGGGTTAAAAGCTTGGTGATTGCAACCAACAGCTAATGGAGCTAATAATTCTAAAATGAATGGTCTGGACATATTACACAAACCACACAGGTGTGGCATCAGACTGAAAATCATCTGATGGAGAGGAGACCAGCTAAAGGAAAGAAAAATCCTCTCTTGTATTCATGTTGTGAAATCTACTTCCATGGTTAAAGACTGTCTCACATGGCTGATTTATCCCAGACTTACGACATACAGTCATCCCCCCTCCAGTCTAGGTACTTAAATTTGACCCATCCTGAAACACAGTCCAGAGTGAGATTTAAGAAATTGTTCTCCATTGCTTTATCCAGTGATGGACTCATGATAAAGTGGTACTAACTGCACTCTGCATTCACCTTGAGAGAGCTATTTCTCACCAGAGGTTATTTATAAATGCATAATATGAAGCTACTTGTGCTTGCAACTGCTCATATCCTGCTCACAACACATAAAGACTTTCAGTGAGAAGACCTATCTCGATGGAGAACTTTGGCATACGGTTCCTTTGTGCTCTCTACAACTTTGCATATAACACCAAACCAGGGGAACAGTCCGGTTCCACTGATGGAAAAGGCTGCTATTCAGAGTCACCTAGACAGGCTGAAGAAATGGGTTGGGAGAAACCTCAGGGAGCAGAACAAAGTCAATAAAAACTCCCATGTCTGGGATGGAACAAGCCCATGCAGCAGGACAAGCTGGGCCAAGCGTGCTACACAGAAACTGGCTTTACAGAAGTCCTGAGGGTCCCAATGCACAACTCCAGTATGAATACGAGCACATCAGCAGTGCATTCCTGATCAGACAACTACTGGACTGTATTAGCAGGAGTGTGGTCAGTAGGCTGGGGCAAATGATTCTTGTCTTCTCCTTGTGTTTGTGAGACCATGCCTGGAGGACCGTGTCCTGTTCTGGACTCTTAGTACAAGGCAGACAAGGGCACACCAAAGTAAATCCAATGCAGGGCCACTAAGATGGTCAGGGGACTGGAGCACAGGACATGTGAGCAAGAGGCTGAAAGAACTGTGTTAGTTTGTTCCTAGGAAGAGAAGTTGTGGGGGGATTTTGTTGCAGTGTATGAAAAGTGTAAGGAAGGCAAGTTGACACACCGAATTCCTACTCAATATTTCTACCATGAAGACTACTGGACATTGGAACAGGCACCCAGAGAAGCTGTGGAGTCTCCATCCTTGAAAGTGTCCAAACCCAGTCTTGGCAAGGCCCTAAGCAACCTGCTCCAATGGTATCTCCTTGATTCAGGAGGTCAGACTGGGGACCTTTTAGGGTTCCTTCCAGCCTCCATGGGTTTGTGATTCTTCAAGCATGGCCCCTCATAACCACTGAAGTCAATGCTGAACTAGCCACAAAGTTTCTCAGTTCAGTAAGGTCTCTTCTCAGGTTTATTTTCAAACTTTTCTTTTTCTGTTTCTCATTTCCTTTTTCTATTTCCCTTCCTACTGCTCTTCCAAGATGAAACTCTGCTGTCTTGCATGTACTGACCAGAGAGCAGATATTGTCCAGACAGACACTGCAGATCTTACAAGTGATATCTGCTTTACAAATTTATAATTCTGTTTGCTGATGTACAGTAGACCTTTACATGTCACAGCTGTGCAACTGTTCTTGCTAAAGCTTCCTGCGTCCATCTGGAACTGTGAGACATCTGCACATCTGCACACAACATGTGAAGAAGCAGCTCTGTGAGAAGAGGAATGAATGAAGCAGACTTGCTGTAGTTTTGTCTTGTGTCTCTTAATATGTGGGTTTAGGTCATGCCTTTTGCCATGGCTGAGACAGCCACAGCAGCATGCTGTGTAGGCCCTCTAAAGAGGTGCAGCTTTTTTGTTAGCGCTTATTTGGGACACCCCAAATTTCTTTTAAGATCTTACTATTTTTTTTTTTTATATTATCCCTGTAACTCTGCCAAGCTGCCTGTAACCGTTGAATGGGATTAAACAATACAGGGAGTAAGATTCTCAATGACAATAAGCTTTGGGAACCCCTCATGTCTAGTAGCTCCAGTCTGCCCAGTCTGCACATTCAGCAGTTTTACCTTGAAAGCTTATCCCATTTTTCTGAGCCCCAGCTTTCAGAAATAATTTCTTTCATTAAACAGATACCTGGGAGGTGGAAGAACCTTTTGCTGTGGGTGAGCATGTTGCATTTCAGTTACTACAGGCAAACAACTGTATTTTAGGCTGTAGTATAATTTCAGTTCTTATGTATCTGAAGTTTCATTAGAAGCTGCAGGTCTGGTCTTGGACCTGCACGGCTCTGCCAGTATAAACTTTTCATGAAATCTGTTCAAATGCACTTGATCATCCTGGATCTTAATGACAGATGCTGTTCTTTCAGAAACATATGGATGGGTCATGGCTAAAAAGAATAAAGTTATCTTCCTTAGAAATGGTAAAAGATACTTTCACTTTGGAAACAGAAAAGCAATATACTGTTTGTAGCCCTAGTAAAAAAGATGGTGCATTTCAAACAAGGAAATTTGGAATATTGAAACAAGCGGAATAGAGCATGAAATATTAGGATTCCCAAGCTGCTTATTCCACTGAAGTCTGTGGGAGTTTTGCCATTGATTTCAGTGGGGACAGGAATTCTGCCTCTCTGGTCATCACCTTGTTATCACCAGAGAGTACAAGCTGCCAAAGAACTCAGGAAAAAAGCAGTGGGAATCCCAGTGAGAAAAAATATTTCAAGAAGACTGGTGACCAGTTCCTTAGAACACGCTTGCAAATGTCACTGTCATGCTGTGGAGTACTTCAGACCTTCCCCTCCACAAAGGGTGAATTTAAAGCTTATTCTATACAGAGGCAGTTTCAAAACAGCAAGCAAATGCCACCTCCCCCTCTGCACTGGGAGCTGGGATTCTGGTTGGAAATGTGAGGGAGAGGTGAGGGGGGAAAAAGAAATGTTAATTTCACATCTAGAACGGTTTTAAATGGGTTACTTCAGACTTTTTTTGGGTCTTAGCTGCTTCTAGGAAAGCTCCTGTAAGTACTGGTGACAACAGATCATGTCTTTAATTATGATGAGAAGCCTACTTCAGACACATTAAATCAGAAGACTGTTTACACCTCATTCTCCAAACTACAAATGCTGCTTCACCAAACGTTTAATGTTTCTTTATAGAATCAAATATTTGTTTCATATAGATTCTTCTATCACCCTAAACTACATTTACTGCTTAATGAGACACCTAACATCATTTTTATGACACTCAAGTTTTATCGATATTTCTAGCCAAGGTTACTTTGATGGCTTTATCTTCTTCAGAAAATGTTTTCTAAATCTGCCAGACACCAAACTGGGCTGTAGTTAACTGCCCAAAACTGAAGGGATGGGATGTCTGTCATCTACATCAGTTCATTAAAAGTTGGGAGTCTAGTGTAAGCCAGGCACACAGCCTCATCTGCAGTCCAGGGAGAGATAACGGAGGATATTTTGTTCCTAAAAGAGGAGGGAAGAAGTGTACTCCTAAGGGTTTCATCTTTTTCCATCTGCAGTAGAAGCAGCCTAGACTGACACTAGCATACCTGAAGTTTGGTGAAAGAAATCCTACATCTGATGTCAAATTCATTCTCAGTGCAGGTCAGATAGGAGTTGGATTTATCTGTCCTAGCAAATAATTGCCTACTAGAACACACTAATAACTCTTGAATTATTTGCTGTTTTCCAGTGCTGAGGAATATGAGCTAAAGGTATTTATGATCAATTTCAGACTGATTTATTGACTAACTACCTATGCATAAACACAGTGGGAAAATAAGTTATATGATAACGATTACTGGGTTTCATATAATTGCATTTCAACAGTTGATTGAAAAACAGAGCACAAAAAAAAAAGTTATAAATAAGGAAACTGAAGCTGAGGGAGAAAGACAGGTCCCAGGCAACCTGGCAGAACGATGCCAGAGCTAAAGGTACTACTCATGCTTCTTGGCCTCAGCATTTAAACAGTCACCTGTCAGAAGCAGATAATGCCACAGCAACTGTGCTGGATGAACAGGATGCCTCTGAAAAGCTGCACGTGTGTGCATGCCAACATCCCCTGGTACATATGCACACACACACACACTTTCCTATCCTTGTGTGTGAAGTCAGCATATACATACAGGCACTGAAGAGATGAAATATCAACTTTCCTTCAAGAAATGACAGCAATTTGGGGTGCTTATCTCTCTAGATTACCACAGAATCATAGAATGGTTTGGGTTGGAAAGGACCTTAAAGATGATCTAGTTCCAACGCCCCTGCCATGGGCAGGGACACCTCCAACTAGACCAGGTTGCTCAAAGACCCATCCAAATGGTCTTGAACACATCTAGTGATGGTGCA